CAGAAGTTGTGAATGCCCCAACACTGGAAGTCTTTAAGAAGATGTTGGATAGCCATTTGTCTGAAACGGTATAGGGTTTCCTGCCTAGGCGGGGGTTGGACTAGAAGACCTCCAAGGTTCCTTCCAACTCTGCTATTGTATTGTATTATGTTACAACAATCTTCGATTTTCTAATTTAGAAAAAAAAATTCAGGTTAACTTTTTACTATTGTCAAAACATAATTTAAGATATGACAAACCCAGTGCTTTTACAGATAGCCCTCGACTTATGACGGACCACTATTGAGCCCAAAATTTCTATTGCTAAGCAAAATAATGGTTGTGTGTTTTGCCCCATTTTACAACCTTTCTCTCCACAATTGTTATGTGACTCACGACAGTTGATAAGTTAGTAACATGATTGTTAAATGACTTTGGCTTCTCCGTTGACTTTGCTTGTCAGAAGGTTGCAGAAGGTCATCACTTGACCCCAGGACGCTGTGACCCATCATAAATGCCAGATGCCAATTTGAATTTTGATCACATGATCAGAGTTACTTTTTTCAGTGCTGTCGCCAAGCAAATGATTTGTAAATTGAGGACTACCTGTATATAGGGAGTGTATGCATACCATACTGGAAACAGAGAGGAGCAAAATAGCATCACTTTCATGTGACTGTTTTACGCTGCCTACAAACACAGTGATTCTTGAACTATTAGCCAGACTTGCCTTGAATGGCACGGGAGAGTTAATAAAAAGCCACAATAAACTATTGTTTCGCATTTCTAAGGACCACTCTGAAATGAGAAGCAAAGTGGCTGTGAGAAGAGGCCTGATGAAATAATAAGGTTTGTCTATAGTTCATCTTGTTAGGCTGGGATTTAGTTAACTGAATGTAAATCTCCCATTCCCTGCACATATTTCTGTTTTGTACTCTAAATTATGTTTGTACTCTAAGTGACAAATATGGAAAGGCATTTTTAACAATATAGCTTCACATATATATATAATACTGACCTATCACGGCTTTAACAGAATTTAAGCACACTTCTCAGTGGGCAAAAAACCCCTATACTTCACTGCTTTCCCTAAAATAGGAAGGATTGTACAGGTAATCCTCGACTTACAACCACAGTGGGGATCAGACCACCGGCCACTATGATCGAGTTTATTGAATAAATAGCTGAGCCCAAGGCAACTTTAGACTGGAGACTCTCATATTGCATTGTTAAATTAAAAAGGGATTTGAAATTATCAAGTCCTATTTTCAAATACTTCCTGTCATTTCTTTTACAAACTAAAAGATAGGAAATGACAAAGCTCTGTAAATTATGTCTAGTACAGAACTTAGACTAATGGGGTTGGAATGAACCTTGGAGATCTTCTAGTCCAACCCCCTACTCAAGCAGGAGACCCCATACCATTCCAAACAAATGGAATCTCTTCTGAAAAGCCTCCATTGATGGAAACATCCATAATGTCTGGCGGCAAGTGGTTCCACTGATTAATTGTTCTCACTGTCAGGAATTTTCTCCTTAGTTTTAGGTTGCTTCTCTCTTTAATGCTCTTTCATCCCTTCCTATTTGTTCTGCCCTCAGGTGCTTTNTGGCCCAAAGTCACCCAGCCAGCTTTCATGTCTAAGACAAGACTAGAAGTCCCAGTCTCCTGGTAACTGGCCCAAAGCCTCCCAGCCAGCTTTCATGTCTAAGACAAGACTAGAAATCCCAATCTCCTGGTGATTGGCCCAAAGTCACCCAGCCAGCTTTCATGTCTAAATCAAGACTAGAAATCCCAGTCTCCTGGTGACTGGCCCAAAGCCACCCAGCCAGCTTTCATGCCTAAAACAAGATTAGAAGTCCCAGTCTCCTGGTGACTGGCCCAAAGCCACCCAGCCAGCTTTCATGTCTAAAACAAGACTAGAAGTCCCAGTCTCCTGGTGACTGGCCCAAAGTCACCCAGCCAGCTTTCATTTCTAAGGCGGGACTAGAACTCACATTCTCCTGAGTTTTAGGCAAGCACCTTAACCACTACACCAAATTGGCCTAACATCTAGTATAATTAAGTGCAATGTTGAGGTAAAATTGAAGTTCCAAATCATTTTACATTAATTCTGTTTTAAATGATGTGTGTGTGTGTGTTTTTTGACAGGGGAACTGCAAAGGAAGATTGGCCTGAAGGTACTTGAAATGAGAGGAAATGCAGTGGTTGGCTACTTGCAGTGTTTTGATCTGGAGGGAGAATCTGGCCTAGTAGTGCGAGCCATTGGAACAGCCTGTACCTTGGACAAATTAAGTAACACACCTGTATTCTTACCTGCATGTAATTCCCCATCCAAGGAGATAAAGGAGTAAGTATGAATTAAATGTTCCCTGGAAAGTTTCTTTTGTGTATTCTTTTCAAATTGCATATTTTTTTTATGTGCCTGCTTTGATTAAATATACACACCCCTGTCTGCCTTTTATATTGACAACTTGTTTTGTGCTGAGAAACCTGAATAATTAAAGTGACCAGATGTAGAAATGAAATGTGTGCCAGATGCCTCTCTATGCGTAATTCTTGTAGTGTTGCGCAGCATGATGGCGAGGGCATTAACCTGTTCTACATTCCAGAGTGCTTTCTCTTCTTGGTGGGTGATTGAAATTAATTAGCTTTAATGGGATGTTTGTATTTTGCAATGTATTTTGCAAAATAAAATCCCACAGGACCTCTGTCTTTAGTATTTTTATTCTGAATGCAATTGCTGTACATGGATTTAAGAAAGAAAAAATTTTCCGTGTAATTCTAAGATAATATGTCATAAGTGAGTGCTATCAGGTTTTTACAACTGTCTGCAACACTTTCCTCTCTCTTACTTAGAACAAATTAAGTTTTGCTGCCCTTTCACTTAATTAGGAGGCAGTTGGCCAACTCTTGAGTTCAGTAGCATTTGGTAGAGTTCAGCTTTTAAAATGAGCCAGAGAAATAGAAATAACACTGTGCCAATCTAAATGTACTTTGGGAAAGCTAAACGCCAATGAAAATATATTACTTTATGACTTGCAATTATATAGCTCTTTTTTATTGAAATCTAAACAGGAAAAATTGCTAGAAAACAATGTGAGATTATCTCAGTCATGCATACTGAAAATTTTAAATTAGTTTAATTTAACCTATCGGCCTGTGCCACTCTCTAGGTTAAAAATAATCTCTTTTTTTTTTAGTCCAAGTGAGCACCCAAATAGAAGTGTTAGACTTCTATTTTAAATTTTATATCTATGGAGATTCTCAGTCATCCAGGTCCTGGTTATCCCAAAGGTGCTTTTTCAAGAGGTAACTGGAATTTCTTTGATTTTTTTTTTTTTTTAAAGACGTTTCGCTTCTCTCATCCAAGAAACTTCTTCCACTCTGACTGGATGGTTCCTTTCATTCTCCACCGTCCATTCAGAGCCGAAGAAGCTTCTTGGATGAGAAGCGAAACATCTTCAACGAAAAACCAGAAAGCCCAGTTGCCTCTTGAAAAAGCACCTTAGGGACATTTTAAATGTTACTTAAATTAAATACTTACCATGACCTTATTGCTTTTTATAGCAGCAGAAATCTTTCATTAATTTCACTTAGCATACTTAGACATTTACATTGATCAGAAGTAAAATTAAGTTGGTCCAGTTCATTTCCTTACATTTAGATTTCAACGATTATTGGGGGCTTATTTTTAGCTTTCTAGCTAAACTTTAGCCGAGTTATAACTAGATGTCAACTGAGTAATGCTTAGTTGGTTCTTTAGAGTTTCAATTCTTTAGAGTAGGGCACTGTATTCCTCTGTGTAGATTCTGGAAAGTTTGTCTGTATATCTTCTATTTTAAAAAACCAATTAGGCTACCCTTTCTTAAATATCAATCTCCCAAATTCCTATTCTCAATGTAAAGCATTGAGAAGGAAGAGGGAGGTCATGTGTGATTATCTCATAAGGTCTTTCTTCACCTTCTCCATGTTATGATCATTAACTAATTGCATGCTTAAGTGTTAAGCTAACTAAATTGCCAAGCTGGAGCCATTGCATTGGTGGATTGAATTTTTAGGAAGCGTCCCAATTTCCCATTCACCCCCTGATTGAAATTAGTGGAATTTGGTTGAACCCTGGTGGCATAATGGTTAGAATGCAGTATTGCAGGCTAACTCTGCCCACAGCCTAGAGTTCAATCCTGACGGGACTCAAGGTTGACCCATCCTTCTGAGGTGGGTAAAATGTGCACCCAAATTGTTGGGGGCAAGAGGCTGACTCTGTAAACTGCTTAGAGAGGGCTGTAAAGCACTGTGAAGCTGTATATAAGTCTAGGTGCTTTTGCTCTTGCTCTTAAATCTATGGGCAACATTGGGAATCCCTGCAGACCTTACATTTGACACTCCTGCTTCAGAGTTTGCTCTTCACCAACAAGCAAACAGAAACCGCAACCTTCCGGTAACTAGAACACCCTAGAATAATATTTTTTTTAAAAATGTAACTTTGCCATTTTTTTTTTTTTGTATGTATTTTTTCCCCCCCTTTCCTTCGATCTCGGCTGCAAATTCTCTCAGGTCTCTGCCGGCTCATCCGCCCAACCATGGATGTCGTTCGACTCACAACAGTCCAATTCACACTGCTACTGGCTCACGGCTTACTCAGAACTTCTCTGTGTCTGTTCCCACTCTCATCTACACTGGTACGCGGCTGCTCAGATTCAGAAGCTGGGGAGAGACAGGCGGCAGACACATTGACAGGCAGGCAGGCAGTGTAGGCAGGTACCTATATCCCCTTAAGAGTTCTTCTTCTCCAGATAAGTCCTTTGTATTCACCTGCTAAGTCAAGAGGAAGCAGGAGGCCTCAAGGATATCTTCTCTCTCTTTTTTTTGCTTTATTGTGCATACCTGTTTTCTCTCCCCCCTCCTCCCCCTTCCCATTATGCAATAATGAAGTTTGCATCTCAGGTGTCTCTCTCGTAGTACGGAGAGAAATGTACAATTTGATCAGGCTTGATGTTTGATGTTCTCAAAAAGGGTTCTGTGCAAGCTGTCTCAAATTGGACCGACAGGTAAGGCTTTGCTACCGGTAGCAGCGCTTGTGAGTACCAACGTTCTGGGTATGGTTTCTCCTCTTTCCGCTTTGTTTTTAGCTGTGGCAACCTGCAAATGCTGACGGATAAGGAAACATTTTTTTTTCTCCCCGGAAATATATATGCGTCTTTATATATAAATGTATATATATATATATATAAATATATAACATATCTTGTCTGTTTGTACGTCAAGGCACAGATATATAACCTGCAACCATTGCTTTTGTTTTCTTTTGTAAGAATCTGGTTCAACAAAAAAAAACATACTGCATTCTTGCAGTCATGGTTTTTGATGGGTTTTACGTTCTTGTTTAATTTCTTGCTTTTCGATGCTTTATGCTTTAGCTGTGGTTTTTTGTTTTGCTGGTCAATAATGCCCATCTGCCTCCACGAAGTTGTGCGGCGAACAACCTTTTTCCCAATGCCTGTGGGCATCGTAATCTAGCTTCCCACCTTAAGTCAATCATTGGCCCTGTCCCCCGCCCGCCCCCCTCCCTGTCCACATCCTGGTTTTGGGATCATCAGCCTGGTCCTTTTGACGTGGGATCACTGAATCTGTTTCCACCTTCTTCTGGCAGGATTCCTTTCAATGAAGACCCCAACCCCAATCCTCATTCATCAGGACCCTCCACCCCTCTGAAAAACCAAATCTATTCCTTTTCACCTTCCAAGTCCTACAGTCGGCAGTCCTCCTCTTCTGACACAGATTTGAGTTTGACACCCAAAACTGGTAAGGTGCTTCCACCCACATTAACTTTAATTTGTTTGTGATTTGTTTTGCTGAATTTGTGTTGTTCCTATTTTATAGCTTTTCACTTCATGGCCTTTCTCTGTAAACCTTTGAATTGTTTATTGAATTATGTGGCATCTGGACATCTTCTGCAAACTGACATAGTAACCACTACACTAAGGTTATCCTAAAGCAGTGTTTCTCAACCTTGGCCACTTGAAGATGTCTGGACTTCAATTCCCAGAATTCCCCAGCCAGCGAATCCTGGCTGGGGAATTCTGGGAGTTGAAGTCCAGACATCTTCAAGTGACCAAGGTTGAGAAACACTGTCCTAAAGAATTGCCTTTTCATTTCCTCCACATCATATTGCAAATTATGGGAAATAAAAGTAACCACAATATGTTTGGGAGGTAGTCTACCACGTCTTTCTTAATATGTACAAATAGGTATAACAAATTAAAACTTTTTTTTTGTATCTGCACTTCTTTATAATCAACTGAATAAGGGCTGCTTGATGTCTTTGGGGCTGCTTTGAAGACAACAATAAGATAGTTTTCATTTTATACCACCTTA